CCCACCCCTCCCTTCCAACCCCTCCCTTCCACTCTCTCTAAAAATTAATGGGAAATGTCTGGCTCGCCATGGCTCAATGGTTGAGCATTGACCTATGATCCAGTAGATGGTGGTTGAATTCCCCCTCAAGGCACAGGCCCCGGTTGTGGCTCAATCCCCAGTAGGGGGCGTGCATGAGGCAGTAGACCAATGACTCTCATCACTGATGTTTCTTTCTCTCTCCCTCTCCCCTTTCTGAAATCAATAAAGACATATTTTTTAAAAAATCAATGGAAAAAAATATCCTTGGGTGAGGATTTTTTAAAAATTAATAAATGGGCTCTGCCAAGGAGGCAGGAAAGTGACAACTTGGTCGTAGAAAGTCCACCAATGCATCCTTCTGACTCCTGATGTAGGAGGGAAGAGTAGGCCTCTCTCTTATCTTTAGCAGAAACAATCCCAGGGAAAGATGCTAAGTGACCAAGCTTGATCCCCCGTCTACACTTGGCCAATCAAATGGCCAATCAAATGGCCATATAGACAGGCATAGGTCACATGACCCTCACATCTCCGGGTGTCATTACAAACTGATGGTACCTGAATGACATTGAGTGAGAGGAAGGGAGTTCACCTTAAGGATACAAAGATGCTGTCACTAGTAAAAGGAAGGAAAAGCTACAGCAAACTAAAAAAAAAATCATATATCTAGGAAATTCTCTAAATACAGCAAGGTTTTTTTTTAGATGTATTTTTATCCCATTCTCCAACACACTGCTCTTTTGAAACTGAGTTATTAATGAAAGTGTCAAACTGTATTGACCTCAGGGTTTACTGTTAATCTTCCAGTGACTCCATTAACCTAGTTTCAAAAAGTGAGGATGTGTTTATCTCTCCCTCTTTAAATGATTAATACAAAGGTTAACAGACATTTGCAAAATTGCTCATGTTCTCTCAAAAAGACAAAGTGAATCATCGCAAGTAAATACAATGCAAGTTATCACACACAAATAAAAGTGAAATTTAGAAATTTTTAAATTATTTATATTTTCAGAGTTAAATCCTTTTCTTAATATTTAAAGCTTTAAGAAGTATTTTAGACAAAGGTAACTTTAATTATGTAAATGAAGTATCTGCATTCTTTGAGTAACATTATTTATTCTATTCCTGTCTATTGAAATTCCACATTTAACTTCAGAAGGAAGGTAAATTACACTGTCGCTATGTCAAAAAAGCAAGTGAAACCTAGAAGAAAAAGCACAAATAATGTAGGCCAGGAAAAATATTTTAATAGGTGTTACTTACACTACGGGCACATCCAAAGTCCAGACATCAATCAAAGCTTGGCTTCCAAACTATTTCCTAGTTACAAAGGCCACAGGAGTGCAGTGTCATAAAGTCAAGACCCTCAGAGTACTTACTATCTTCGCATCACGGCGACTGCACACGTGCTGCTGTTAGAACGTCTCCCGCAGGCAGTCACACGACCTCGCTCGCGTCTGCACCCACATCCTCTGCCCTTGGTTAGAACCCTACGTCCATGAAACGCACAGTAATTCCACTTCACTGTATTGTGTAGCTGATTTACAGATGGAAAGTTCTTCAGGCTCAGATCTTTTCTGAGAGCCCTCCAACTGCAGAAGTTTTCCATAGGCAGAAACCACAAACAAAAAGAACTTTATTAAATTCGGCTTTTGCTGAGCTCAGTAGAGCAGGTCCCCTCAGCCTGATGCCAACACCCCCCTCCACCTACACGAAGCCACAGACAAAGATGGGGGACGCTTAAACCTGCTTCCAGGTGAAAATCCTCCCTCAAGAGAATCTCCTACGCCCTGCCCTCTTCACTTTGCCCCCGACGCCAGCCCAGGCCCACAGGTGCATCCTGCCTCCTACTCAGATGAGCACACTGTCCAAAGGGCCTTCATGCCCCCCTCCTCCCCAGCCGCCACCCCTATAAATCCCGCCTGCCCAGTTGGCCCGTTTAATTTTCCACACCAATTTTGTTCCAAAGCTTGGGTTCTGGAGGTTTAGATTTATTTTCATGTCCCCAAAAAGAATTTCCTTTCATTGGGAGAAGAAAACTTTAAGAGCCCCTCTTTTGCTCAATGAAAAGTGGACAAATGGAAACAACTCACTGTTTTTAACTCGGGAGGCGTGGGCAGTAAATAGGTGAATATCTGGCTCCAAGTAAGTTGGTCTGTTTCAAAGCAGAGGCCTAAGGCAGCCGAGAGCCCCACTAGGTCTCCACAGTGGAACACCCCGCACTCGCTGGCCAATAACCAGCAAGTGCCAAACAAAAGCGAGTGTGCTTTTCCCCAAAAATATATTATCTCTCTAATAGGAAAAATAAAATTATGAATCTATCCTTGATAGGGAATGTGAGGTAGAGCGTTACAACAGAGCACACAGCCAAGTTACATATAAAACCACTTTGGCCACCAATCCGGAGATGGAGCTTTAGCTGCAAAGTCATGAAGAAATAGGTCCCGGATAAAGAAAAGCTCTCTTGTGCCAGATCGTTTTAGGAGTAAGAGTTTATGTGGGTGATTTATTTAAATGGTTATTAAACTGCGAAGGTGTTTATATATGTAAAATATGCGTATTGGAGGAAGTCAGCTGGTCGCTTCACGCTCCAGAGGGCAAACGCAAAGTTCATTACAACCCTCGGTCTACCGCAGAGAGGTCTGCAAACCGGGGCCCAGGATTCTTAAAAGGCCAGTCAAGCCTCGGGTGGACTCGGCTGTTTCTCCATTTTCCCGCCCTTCCGCTTTTCTCTCCTTAAATAGTTCTTGCAGGATTTGCATTTGAGGAGGTTCAAGAGGTCACTTCCCCTCCAAGCCCAGCCGAGTGGCCGCGCCCGACTCTCCCGCACGCCGTCGGAGGGGCAGGGTCACAGCGCCCAGAGCCACGGCTCCGCGGGAGGCTT